ATATACATATATACATATATATACGGAAATAGGATGCATGACTGTGGTGAAGATTTCACTATCTGCCTTCTGAAAAATATGCAGATATGTCCCATTGAATAAACAGGAAACTACAAGTGGTACAAGAAAAACTAATTTAAAAAAAACATAGAGATTAATTGGTCAAAAGAAAACAAATAAAGTGCACTGAAGTACTTCTGTTTACAATGTAAACATTAAATACAGCTTTAAAAAGAACCCTGAAGAATCCATAAGAACAATAATCTTTGAATAAAATAGTAGTCATAGCGTAGGTTGCTGGCCTTACTTGCCACAAACTGATTATGACACATGTCACAGCTACATGCTGAATTAAAATGAACTGAAATGAATAGTTGTAAATTAAGTTATTCCTCTAATAAAAGTAGTCTGGGTCCTTTCCTCACAACACCATTCATCCTACAGAGAGGAGTCCTTGAACTGTGCAGCTGGTCTTGTAAAGATGTCTAACCTGGCTGACCTTCATGTGGAGGAGGAAATAAATCAGTGACAAACAAGATGACATAACGCCCCTACAGATGAGTAAATTGTAAAAAAAAAAAAAAAAAATGCTTCTAATAGTTTAAAATATACGTTTAATCCGCACAAGGTAAAAAGGACACATGATAAAAGAGGAGCAAGCAGTTAACCTTATATTTAATTGAATGTACTCCACTTGTTAGAGATGGGTTTCGACAAACTAAGCGTGTCCCTTCATGGCTTCCGTATTCCGGTTGTTTTGTTTTTGTAGTGCCCGTGGTTAGCTTCTCCCCGTAGGTCGTAAAAGGAAGAAAATTAAATGTTCCTGTCTGGCAAGTTTCAGAGGCATAGCGAAATATATTGCAATAGATTTATTTATCAAGGTAAAGTTATTCTAATTGAATTTATCGGGCAAGTCCAGTGGTAAAATAGCTTGCTAATATGCGACTGCTAGCTCCGATTAGCATCTAGCTAGTGTCGAATTACTACTTTTGCACATAATTTACCAGGGATTATTTTTGACTTTGTTCATTGTTTGAAAGCGTTGGGGGTTTAAATGAAACTGCAACTTTATTTTTTTTTTTTTAGGAAAAATTGAGCTAAATTTCAGTCAGTATCTTAAAAAGTGGTGAAATGTCATTCATTGGACTGGTGAAGTATAATGTATAGATAAGCTCGTATCTATAAATCAGTATAACTTTTGTTTCCTTTTTGTTTTCAGTTCAGGTTGTTTACATTTATTCAGTCAGGGCTAACCTTCGTGCTGAACCCCATACTTCATGGACAAAAGTTTTTTTTTTTTTTTTTTTCATCAAATGTCACTTTTGCGGTCACGTTTTCTATAATTTCCCAAGAAATATTGATGCTTTTCAAGCTTATTCAGTTATTTCAATTGGCAGGGGAAGATAAATCGTTTTCAAATATTAACTTTCTTGTGGGGTCAAAGGGCTTGGGAACTTTTATTAAAATAAAAATGTATTCAATTCAATGCAAAAATACTTTATTGATCCTAAAAGGAAATTWAATTCATCGTTTTATTGAACTGCCTTATAGCGTCACTTTGTCTTCACCTGTAACCTCACTCTGAACTGACATTAAAGCTTTTTTTTTCTCTGCAGCTCTGATATCAATTCGTGTCTTCACAGGTTGGAGAATATGGTTGTGAATCTCTGTCTTCCTCACTTTAGCACAACAGTTCACTGCAACAAGGTATGACATGTTTCATAAATACAATTATATAATCGTATAACCCTGAAGCTATTTTACCAAGCTAGTTGATTTTGCAACAAATCTAATACTTTAAATGCACAACATTGTTWAATCCACTGGCAGCAGTTGTTGCTGTCGTGATATGAAACAAAATACATTATTTACCTCTGAGCCTTATGTTTTTAGAGTCTCGTTTATTGTGTTTTTCACAGACATTTTTAAAGAGTATGTCTGAAGCAGAAAGAATAAAAGACATGAGACCATWTGAAGTTGGAGGACATTAGTGAGAAAATCAAAGAGCAGGGGACAAAGTGCTGTGTGGGAGACTGGATCCCAACTGTCCTTGTTCTTGTTATTTCATTTCTCTAATATATAATGGCTTTCTTTTATCCGCTTTTATGAACATTTTAAAAAGATCAATGTTTTACTTTTTTCTATTTTGTCATTTTAAAAGGAGTTATATATATTTACCAATAYGTTCCTGTGTGTATCTGAGAACACAAGAAGAGGATATACGTACTGAAAGTGGTTCTTTCATGTCCACATTTTCAAATGTCCAAAAACAAGGAGGCAAAATTTGGGCAAACAATTTTAAAATGTATTTCTTTTTATTTATTTTACATCTACAGCTGTGTGCAGATGGCTATGACGTTACAAATCTTGTGTCAGCGGACCCGTCTCTTCGAAAGCGAGGCTTCAAGCTGGAGTACTTTTTACGCCCGCCCCTACAGGTGAGGATATGCTGCAATAATTTTAGATTTTTTAAAAATATCTTAAGAGCCAAAACAACGTCGACGTTTTTGTTAATATTGTCTGCTGTACTGCAGGAGAATGAGCACAGGTTAAGTTACTGATTGTCACAAACATCATCAGACTGATTGAATGTTTTTTTAATCATTCTGTTCTTTTTTACAATCAAGGCTTTGCTTTATATTGTGGGGAAACTAAGTACTTTATTGTAGTCAGATTCAGAAATATATTTGTTTTTTAATATTTAAGTCAGAAACTTAATGGGGCACTTTCAACAAAGAATATTAATATTTCTGTATCGACCTAAAAATGGTGAGGGATTACTTGAAACTTGTTTAAAAACTAAAGCCTTTTAACTCTTTTGTTTGTTTATTTTTTGGTCTCAGGTGACATTAAAGTTTGGCTTTCCAGTAGAGCTCTGTCGAGTGGATGTGGAGCTCTGGCCCTGGGGGTTGGACCGGGGCCAGGCCTGCAAGAAGCTTGAGATCAGCACCAGTTCAGATCTGAGGCCTTCCAGTGGCCCGGGACTGACYGAGCAACAGGAACAGAGCACAGATCAGGAGAAGAGTCAAAAGGGAAAGAACGGACAAAAACATCAGCAGGATTGGCGTAAATCTGGGCAGAGCAGTGGTCACCAGTGGAGTCTTCAGGCCCAACAGTGGGGTGAAGACGGTTCTGGACAAAGAGCCTCTGTGTTCAGGTCTCAGTCAAACACAGAGACCAGCATTTCAGAGTCCGAGTTTAAACTGGTGGCTCGCTGTGAGCTCAGAGAAGAAACCCGAGTCTCTTTCAGACATTCAAACTTTCGCCCTCGGGCGCCGTTTCTGTCTCCTCCTCCTCAGCCAGAGGACTGTYGGCAGGAGACCCTGTGGAGTCGGGGCCGGGCCTCACTGGGTGCTGTGACCCAGCTTCGGGTCACTGTGCCTGTTGGTGGTGCAGGATCCTCTCTGGGACTGAAGACTTTAGCTGTGTGGGGGCAGCCTGCTCACTGCTGTCCGGCAGAAGAAGTGGAGAGGATTCAAACAATACATGAGTCCAACGAACGCCGGGCGGCACAACCTGCATTTTTTGCTCCATCTGTCCGACAAATCCCACAAACACTCCAGGAAACTCCCAGGTGCCGAATTTAAGCAGCTTTAATTCAACATTTGTTGTTCTGTAAGCTCTCTCCTTTCTAATATTTGTTTTTCTCTCTTACAGTCCTTCTATCCCTGAAGAATTTCTTGATCCGATTACACAGGAAGTGATGACGCTGCCCATGCTGCTGCCCAGTGGCGTGTCAGTGGACACCACCACCCTGGAAGAGTACCAGAAGAGGGAAGCCGGCTGGGGTCGACCGCCGAACGACCCCTTCACCGGCGTCTCGTTCACCGCAGCCTCCCGACCTCTTCCCAACCCCCAACTGAAGAGCCGCATCGACCGCTTCCTCCTGCAGAACGGGTCGACGGGGAGGACCGGGGTGCTGGGGAGACGAGAGCCAGGAGAGAACCCGCACGCCTCGAGACTTGTCACGTCCGACATCCACGGGCAATCCCAGAGTTCTCTCTGTCTCGTTGAAACCTCACCAAACAGCGACGGTGTTCGGGGTAAAACTGACAGCAGAGACACAAGCGGGACTTTGGTGAAAAAATACGATTCTGGACTTTCGATGGACAAACGGAAGAAACGAGATTTAGGGGAAGTTTCAAACGAATCGACACAAAAGGCAACATCTGATGACAAACTACTACCTCAATTAAAAAGACCAAGAGATCATTCAGCTTCAGGTCAGTAACCCCTTTAACGGCTACACGCACAGGTTAGCTTCACATCAAATCGCTTAATGTTATGCAATAAATAAAAAATGGAAAATATAGATTTAAGCCTCAAAAGATGAGCCATACAATCTGTTAATGTTTTTGTTTTTGTTTTGCTCCGTCTTCAGTCCCGAGCTGCAGCTCTCATGAGCAGCTCCTGTCAGCCAGTCTGGATGAGGCCCTCCTCTCTGCCCTGAAGGGCCGACCCTCCTTCACGTCAAACTTGCCCCAACAGAAGGAGAGTACCTCTGACTCCACGGAGCTGTGCCAGAGTTCAGGCTTTAAAATCACCTCCGCAGGTGCATTCTGTTCCTTCCAGCGTGCTGAAGGCAATAAAATACACAGTTTATAGAAGAATTTCTAAATGAGAGTGTTTAATATTGACTCAGATGTTTTTGGCTTTGGCTTGCTGCAGTTACGAATGTTTACAAAAGGTGAACCTGGTTTGAAAAGGATTGAATTTCTTCCACAGACAAATCTCAAATCACTCCCACAGCATAAGCCTGTTATCTATGTGTTGAAATAAATCGAGTTAAACCAAAGTTTTATTTTTCTGAAGCACATTTTAAAACCAGGGTTCCTGCAGATCCTTACAAAGTCTTAAAAGGCCTTGAATTCATCAATCCAAAAATAAGGCCTTAATTAGCCTTAAAATGTCTTAAATCAATCTTTCAGAAGTCTTAAAAATGTTAACACATTGTAAATAGGATGATTGTAACTCATCTCGATTATTAAAATAATTGGAAAAATTTATTTTTTTTTAATATTTACACGCAGACATTCCCCTTTGACATCACTTCCTGTTATTTCACATGCAAATATCTCAATTGTTCATCTGAGCAATGTGAAATTTGTTTTGTAAAATGTCTTTCCAAAAATGCATTCACTTTTCTTACAAAAACTTAATGTCACAGGCACTTTAAGGTTTCATCTACAGCAAATAGGGGTTAAGACCCCACTGTGGGTCCTAAAACTTCAAATTTTGGGTTGTTAGAGTATTTCCTGAAATTAAATTAAGGTTAAAACTGACTGCTAAGAACGTTTCTGCTATAGTTAGATTTGGATAAAAACAATTGGTCTAGCAAAATTTGAATACTTCAACCAAAAGTACTTTGATTTCTGAGTTTCTGCCAGTTTTTATTTTTTTGTCATTTGTGCTTAATTATGAAATTGGTCTTAAATTTAATTTCACTTGGCATTAAAAAGTCTTAAATTTAACTTGCTTTAAACTGTAGGAACCCTGAAAACAGTAGTTCACCAAAAGTGCTAAATAAAATAAATAGTTAATTAAAAATAAATATAAACCGAGTGAAATAAAGCAGTTAAGCTCGCACAATAAATAAATTTGAAAGCTTAGAATGAAATAAATTGTGTCTTATTAAAAGAAATCAATTTTAAATGTGTGAATCCTTTTTTTTCTTCCTTCTTTCTCTAACCAGGTGGAGAGAGATGCTCGGCGTGTTCCTGTTCCGTCTCAGCTTACTCGACACCGTCGGTCTACCGCCTGCTCTGCGGTCACTTTCTCTGCCGTACCTGCCTGCAGGGAGAATCGAAACAACCGAACTCCRCTTTCAAACGCACTTTATGTTCGACCTGTCACAGTTTTACCCCTCACAGTAACATTGTCCGTGTGCATCACTGACAGATGAAAGAAAAGCTCAAACCTTTTGTTGCCTCCTGTTAAAATGAACATCATCTCCAAACATGACATAGTTATTTGTCGTCGCCAAACTTGTCTATTTTTGTGCCACCATTTGTTGTGTCGATTGTTTCGCAAGCAATAAAACTGCGTCAAGTCCACCATTAAAGTATTGTTTTTTAACTTCAACTGTTATTTGACATGACAAAATCCAATAAGAGGCCTGTTCTGTCCTCCAGTGATGGAAAGAACATCATTGAAAGCACAGATCTTTTCAATTAGAATGTATAAAAATACAAACGCACAAAGTCCTCTTCTTTGCCGCCCCCTCTCCCTAAACTCCTTATTGGAAGTGGAGCTGCAGCCTTGGATGTRAAGCCTCTGAAGAAAGGGCGAGAAACTTTAATACAGAGGACTCACAAACAGGTCGAGGGACAGCGGCGCTGTGAGACTGGAGCTGTGTAGTCATTGTGAAGAAACCCAACGAGGTCATGATCAACTCATGATTCGAATTCCTCGTGTCTTTTTCACTCGTCCTTATGGCCGGCCTCTCTCAATTTGTTCTGTACATGATGAAGCGGCAAATATCGTAAAAACAAACTTTGTGTCGCTCATAATGTACCTTAAGGTGAAAGTTTTTTTTAAAGTTGTGTGTTGTACCGGTACATCTTAGAGTCTGACCAGTTTTGCATTTCCTTTAAAATAGACATATGCTTTTAARTTMTTCTTTCTCACATTTAAATCATTCAGTTGGGGTMTATATAAAGTCAAACTGCAATGTTTTGGTCTGAATTTCCTCCGTAATGTAACTCCACAAGCCCCTGTTTCACCCCTGTTCTGAGTTGTGTCTCAACTTGTTTTGATGCTGTTTCTTTAAATCCAAATAAGGCGCTTCACATCCCATAGACATAATAGTTCTGAAAACATAACAGAATTTAGAGAAAACTGACCGGGTTATAAAATATGACCCAAACAGAAAATAAAGATCTCTGCAGCACCGGGAGAGACTAAATTAGACTTTTCTTCACTCCTRCAGACACCAAGTACACAACAAAATGTAACTAATGACAAAAACGGTGCATTTTGCATATGTCCCCTTTAACCCTTTAGAAGGCTTTACATATTTTTATTGTCTCTATGTAAAAAGAAAATTTAGTATTTGTCAAGGAGAGTGTTAATGGCTTATATGCTTTTTTGTTACTATTGTAACTTTTCACTTGAGGTTGAGAGGAGGACTAACAACAGAAATAGTGGGACAATAGGATAGGGTTACTGTTAAGAACAAACAAAAAAGATGATGTATAACTAAGAGTGCTGTGTGGAAAAAGGTAATTACAATTTCTCTGAGGGAAAATCCCTAAGGGATTATCTATCTATCTATCTATCTATCTATCTATCTATCTATCTATCTATCTATCTATCTATCTATCTATCTATCTGTCTGTCTGTCTGTCTGTCTGTCTGTCTGTCTGTCTGTCTGTCTGTCTGTCTGTCTGTCTGTCTGTCTGTCTGTCTGTCTGTCTATCTATCTTAGCATAATTGTTTTTACAAGTATGCAGGGGTGTCACAAGGTTTTAAGGACAAGGGGGGCTTAGCCCCCAGGAGACGCACAGAATTTCTGTATATTATATATTTGTATTGTATATATA